GGAGGACGGTAAATTGGTAGTGGGTACTATTGACCACAAATCTGAGGTACTTCCTGTGGGGCTGAGAGATTACGATATGAAAATATGCGTCCTTCAAGTCGAGGACAGCATACTAGTCTGCTGGATCTAGCGAGGTGATGATGGAGGCCCAGGAAACCATGCAGAACCAGAGTTTCTTCATGAACGTGTTACATTCTCACAGGTCCAGGATAGGCCTGAGGCCACCTTTGGCTTTAGGTATTAGGAATACCGGGAACAAAAGCCCTCGCCCGTGTCCTTGAGGAACCTCCTCCACTGCCCCTAGCGATAGGAGCAACTGCACCCCTGGAGCTGCTCGTGAGAAGGGTCCCTGAAGGGGGATAGAGAAGGAGGGTGGAAAGGCGGGAGGGCACAGAATTGGATAGAGTATCCCTTCTCTACCATGCGGAGCATCCAGCGGTCCGAAGTGATACGAGACCAGGCATGGTAGAAAGGAGACAGTCGGGAGGAAAAGGTAAGGTGGGGTAGATCCAGTCTCTGATCTGGTGGCCATCCTTGACCGCACCTTCAAAAGGCCGCTTTAGGGCCAGAAGGCGGTTTGGGTTGGCCAGAGCCCTGGCCTGAAGATGGGTGTTGTTTCCTCCTGCCACTCCTGTTCCTCCTCTGAGAACCGTCCTGGCGGTTCTGCTGATGGAATCTTGGAGGAGGTTGCAGTCTGAAGTGTCTCCGCTGTGTGGAGGGAGTGTGCAGGCCCAAAGACTTGAGAGTGGCCCATGAGTCTTTCAGACTGTGTAGCCTCTTGTCTGTCTTCTCAGAAAAAAGCATCAGACCCTCAAATGGGAGATGCTGAATAGTTTGTTGGACCTCATAAGGGAGCCCCGAGATTTGGAGCCAAGAGCCCCTTCTCATGGCCACCCCAGTAGTCATGACCCTAGTGGTGGCATCTGCACCATCCTACACGGCCTGGAGGGAAGCCCGGGAGACTAGCTTCCCCTCCTCCACCAAGGCCGAGAACTCGGTTCAGGAGTCTGAAGGGAGGCGCTCCATAAATTTGGCCATCGCTGCACTGGTGGTATAAGAGTACCTGCTGACGATGGCCTGCTGGTTCGAAAAATGGAGCTGCAGAACCCCTGTAGACTAGACCTCTCCCCTGACAAGGTCTAGTCACTTAGCCTCCCTGTTTTTTTGGGGAGGGTCCTTAGAAACCCTCCTCTCATGCTGGTTAGCAGCATCCACAACAAGAGAGTCGGGAGGTGGGTGGGAATACAAATGTTCATACCCTTTGGAGGGCACGAAATAACATCTCTCATTGTGCTTGGCAGTGGGTGGCAAGGAAACTGGGATCTGCCACAGGGTCTTGGTGGTGTCCACAATGGTTTTAATGAATGGAAGGGCAATATCGGAAGGTCCTGAGGGGGCTAGGATATCCACCATAGGATCAGCCTCCTCAACTACCTCCTCGGCCTTAATGCCCAGACCCTGAGCAGCCCTTTGTAGCAACTTCTGCAGCACCCTGTTGTCCTCAAGTGTCGGGGCTACGGCTGTGCCCACCAATACCTTATCTGGCAACGATGAGGAGGAAACACTTATAAGAAGTAGATGCTCCCTGCCATCCACTCCCAGGGAGTCCCACGACTCTCAGAGCAGTGTAGGTCCGATGGAGCGCTCGCTGGCGCCGGGGCTGTCGACGCCGAACCCGGTGTTGGCGCAGTCATCAGCAACACCGGTGGAACCATTGATGGAACCAGTGCCAAACCCGTCTGCGCTGATGAAAGTGGCGGGTCCATCGCCGGCACTGGTGCCAGGATGGTGAGTGCCTGTGCCATAGTCGGCGTCGAGATCAGTGCCGGCACCAAAGTTGGACGAGTCACCGGAGCGGAGGTCAGTGTCTAGGTCAGTGCCTGCAACGGTGCCGCAGCTGGAGGTGTTGGCAGGGGCCGAGGCAAGCTGCAGAGTTGATGGCAGGACGAAGGTGATTAAGGCCACAGGAGACGGCGCGGTGCCCTTGATTCCCTGCCTGGCTTTGGTGAAAGGGCGAGGGGGTCCAGAATGGCTACGGTGATGGATTCTGCCACTGCAATGGCCACGCTTGGGGCTCTCTCCTGTCTCTCCATGACCTCGATCTTTGCCTCCTACTCCTCCTAGATTGGTAGAAGTCAGACTCTGACTCCAAGGTCTCTGAGACGGAAGACCACGGAGGAGCCGAGTCTCGGTGCCTTGAGAGTCAAGAGCTCAGGGAGTGAGTAGGTTCTCTGTCTGAGTGGGCCAGTGCTGAAGGACATTGAGTGGGGGAGTGCCTGGACATCATTGCAGGCTTCCCTCTTGACTGCACCTGGGGGCGGGGTGGGACCGCCAATGCTGAAGGTTTCTCCCTCCTCGAGGGCGAGAACAGTGCCGTAAGGTGCAGCAGCTTCGAAAGCTTCCGGCATCGAAGGGAGCTGTAGCTGCTGGTACGTAGGGACCGGTGACCATGGGGAGCACGGACTCAACTGCCTCGCCTGGGCAGGAGTCGACGCGGCCCCAGTAGGGGATCCGGAGCTGTGGCCCGCTGGGGGTCTCACTTCTCTGGATTTAGCCGGAGCTGACCAATTGTCCGGCTTCTTTTTCTTCTGAGGCACCGGCGAGTGGAATCGGTGCCTGCTCTCTGCTGGGCTCGGGAGGTGCCGTGCCTGTGCCGAGCATCCCGGGACGAATCTTTTCTCAGCACCAAGCTTGAGGACGGTGCTGGGGCGCTCTGCATCGAGGAGGATGTGTTAGGGGCCGGGTCCCCTGAGCCCGGGTCCAAATAGGGGCATAGAGCTTCCTCCATGAGGATCACTTTAAGCCACTGTTCCCTTTCTTTAAGAGTTCTAGGGCGGAACTCGTGGCAGATCTTATGGTGATCCTTTTGGTGACCCTCCCCTAGACAATGTAAGCATGAAGAGTGTGGATTGCACTTCGCGCAGGCCACACAGTTTTTAAAACCCCAGGGATCGCGGCATACCACGGCTCCGGGAAGTCGAAATGCGGGGGGGAACCTCCAAGAACTCTAATTACTAACAACTAAGGTAAACTATATACAAAGAACTGTACAATGTGCTTCCTAAGCATGGACTACGGGAAGTTCCAGCCAACCGTCACTGGCGGTAAGAAGGAACTGAAGTGATGGCGGGTCAGCAGGTCTTTATATTGAGCGCCATGAAGGCACGACTCCAGGGGGTGCCCAGACCAACCCAACGGATGCTGCTATGGAAAAAATTACTAATTACTAGTTACTAAAGAACTATAGAATGTGCTTGCTAACAAGGACTACGGGAAGTTCCAGCCAACCGTCACTGGCGGTAAGATGGAACTGAAGGGGTGGCGGGTCAGCAGGGCTCTATATTAAGCGCCATAAAGACGCGACTCCAGGGGGCGCCTAGACCGATCCAATGGATGCTGCTATGGGAAAAATCTTCTGGCCACTGTGCACGTGTGTGCACACACACCTGATTGGAATGGACATAAACAAGCACTCGAAGAAGAATTAGGCATTACATTGTACCCTGAAGGTCACTACATTTGGAATCTGTTGGGCTGCCAAAGGCAATGGATAATCTGTATAATTATTTACATTTTAGGGCAATATGCAATTTAAAACAGTTTCTGCTCTGCAATTGGACATACAAGCCTTAGTAAACTAGAAATAAGGCACAGGATTTAGGGTTCTTAATAAAATATTTTAAATAAACAAACAGAAAATAGAACATAAAAAAGCATTATGGTAAGTTGTCAGGGTATAGTATGTTGGGATACATCAGTAAAGATACAAACACGTTACTACTGCAAAAATTGAGAAAAAAAATGGGAAAAACTTATCCAGTAAAAAAAGTCAAAACAGTTGAATAAAAATCAGCATGAAACTACCAATTACTAAAAATTAAAGCCCTTAACAAATCCCTTCAAGCCTCTACATACTTCATCCTGTTTATGTCTTTGATTTAATTTCATTCTATTTGCTTATTTGCTTCCTTATTTGCTCCTTATGCTTTTTACCAAATACACCTCTACCTCGATATAACGCTGTCCTCGGGAGCCAAAAAATCTTACCGCGTTATAGGTGAAACTACGTTATATCGAACTTGCTTTGATCCGCCAGAGTGCGCAGCCCCCCCCCCCCCCGGAGCACTGCTTTACCGCGTTATATCCGAATTCGTGTTATATCAGGGTAGAGGTGTACCTTGCTTTATTGATCCCTACACTTAGTTTTTGCTTTCTTGACTTTGTACCGTCTCTTATGTTACCACTTACACTTGGAAAAATATCTCACTTTCTTTCCAATAAACCCCATCCTTCTATTTAGTAATCTCCTCAAAACTCCCTTCAGGAATCAATCATTCCTTGTTATCCATAACAATAATCTCTCCTCACTCTCCCCTTCCTTCCCTGGTCCCTACAGCTTTTCCACATTTAGACACTCACAAGTATCACTGGGCTGGGACAATCTTTTTAAACGTTTTTAAATTTAGCCTCTTTTTTGGGGCTATTCCTTTTCATACCAAATATTATTTATTTCAATAAACTTTTTTTTAATTGTTTTAGCCACACAAAGTACAAAATAGACAAACTTTGAATTACAAAGCTAAAACTACAAAGATTTCTTTTGCTTGCTGCTGTTCTTGCTACTCACTTCTCTCTCTCAAAAAATCTCATAATGGACATATAACTCCATAACTCACATAGTTAAACAATTTACTAGCATTTGGGGATTAAGAAACTAAGAAGAGATTCATATTGATTAATTTGGGGAACAATAAGAGTAGGTTTAATATGAACGTCTCTGTGCTCCAAATTGTTCTTCAGTTCTCTACTATTCAGGTTAATAGTAACTGAAAAGAACAATTAAGTGAAGCAATAAATAAAGAATTTCATACAAAGGTAATTGTGTTCCTATTTCTTTTACCCCATTTGTAAACTGTATCTTTAAAAAACTGGTCCAATATCAGATTACATTAGTACCGTAAAAACAAATTGTTTAAGAAGCAGTGCAAACATTAACTTACCCTGCAACAGTTCAGCTCCTCTGCTGTCACTATGATTGTTCCACATTTCTTCCCTGGAATTCCTCTGAAAACAAACAGCAAATATATACCTCAGAATGATTTAATACCATGTAGCGAAAACTTCCCATGCCAGCAGCCAAAATTCCACAGACATGATTTTAAGTATCTTATCATAAAGGAAACCATAAATAGTTTGTATTTCATGGCTAGGAGGTACAAAGCCATAAATTAATATCCTCCATGAGACAGGCTACAGCTAACTCAAGCTGAATACTAGAATGTGCCATTGCTACTCAGACTGCTGAAAGAGGACTCGGTCGTCTTGCATTTTAAATAGTATAATTCGTACCTTGAAACACAAGTGTTTGTCTCCAACTGTGCTGTGCAAGGATTGGGTTAAAGACAATGAATAGGGCTCAAAGAAAGTGAGAGAGTATCTTGGGAATGTGGTAAATGGAATGTTATTTATTTGATAAAATAATTAGTTTAGAGCTACAAATCAGAGAAGAGATAGCAAAAATCTTCATATGGGATAGGATGGCCATTTCAACTCTTCCACCAGGTGTGCTAAAAAAAAGAGCTGCTGAGAAGTTGGAAAAAACTGCAATTTAACAGTTCTTAAAAGGTGTACTGTTTCTTGAGGAATTTGTTCGAACAAAACTCCAAAAACAATTTGGAAGATAATGAAACGTCTTTATTTTGTGATGTCTTACTACAAAGTGTTTAGTTATGTATAATTGCTACCATTATGTTAGCAGCAGTAGCTATAAAATAACTTTTAATGCAACAAACTAAAAAATTAGCAAGAGAGGAAATAATTAGGGCTGTCAAGTGATTAAAAAAATTAATTGCGATTAATCGCGCTGTTAAACAATAATAGAATACCATTTATTTAAATATTTTTGGATGTTTTCTACATTTTCAAATATATTGATTTCAATTACAACACAGAATACAAAATATACAGTGCTCACTTTCTATTATAAATATTTTCACTGTAAAAAAACAAAATAGTATATTTCAATTAACTTGATACAAGTACTGTAGTGCAATCTCTTTATCATGAAAGTTGAACTTACAAATAAATAATTATGTACAAAAAACAAACTGCATTCAAAAATAAAACAATGTAAAAAAACTTTAGAGCCTGCAAGTCCACTCAGTCCTACTTCTTTGTTCAGCAATCACTCAGACAAACAAGTTTGTTTACATTTGTGGGAGATAATGCTGCCCACTTCTAGTTTACAATGTTACCTGAAAGTGAGAACAGCCGTTCGCATGGCACTGTTGTAGCCGGCATCACAAGATATTTACATGCCAGATGCGCTAAAGATTCATATGTCCCTTCATGCTTCAACCACCATTCCAGAGGACATGCATCCATGCAGATGACGAGTTCTGTTTGATAATGATCCAAAGCAGTACAGATCAACGCATGTTCATTTTAATAATCTGAGTCAGATGCCACCAGCAGAAGACTGATTTTCTTTTTTGGTAGTTCAGGTTCTATAGTTTCCACAATGGAGTGTTGCTCTTTTAAAACTTCCGAAAGCATGCTTCACATCTCATCCCTCTCAGATTTTGGAAGGCACTACAGCTTTTTAAACCTAAGGTCGAGTGCAATAGCTATCTTTAGAAATCTCACATTGGTACCTTCTTTACATTTTCTCAAATCTGCAGTGAAAATGTTCTTAAAACGAACATGTTCTGGGTCATCATCCAAGACTGCTAAAACATGAACTATATGGCAGAATGTGGGTAAAACAGAACAGGAGTCATATAATTCTCCCGCACAAAGTTGAGTCACAAATTTAATTAAACGCATTGATTTTTTTCATGAGCATTGTCAGGATGGAAGCATGTCCTCTGGAATGATGGCCGAAGCATGAAGGGGCATACGAATGTTAGCATATCTGGCAGGTAAATACCTTGCAATGCCTACTACAAAACTTGTTTCTCTGAGTGACTGGCTGAACAAGAAGGACTGAGTGGACTTGTAGGCTCTAAAGTTTTACATTGTTACATAACTGCACTCAAAAACAAAACAAACAAAAAAATCTACATTTGTAAGTTGCACTTTCACAATAAAGAGATTGAACTACAGTACTTGTATGAGTTGAATTGAAAAATACTATTTCTTTTGTTTACCATTTTTACAGTGCAAATATTTGTAATCAAAAATAATATAAAGTGAGCACTGTACACTTTGTATTCTGTGTTGTAATTGAAATCAATATATTTGAAATTGTAGAAAAACATCCACAAATATTAATAATTTTCAATTGGTATCCTATTATTTAACAGTATGATTAAAACTACAATTAATCGGGATTAATTTTTTGAGTTAATTGCGTGAGTTAACTGCGATTAATCGACAACCTTAGAAATAATATATTGTTTTTATGGGGGAAAAGGTACAGAATAGATTCTTATACCAGAGAGCTACATTAATTAAGAATATAAAGGACAGACATCTTGTTTGACAGAAGCCAGTACAGGATGGTTCAGAGGTAAGTTTAAATACTCAGCATTCACTTATTTGCACAATATTATCCCATACATGGGTAATTTCTTTCCGACTCCTGCCTGTGATCAGTTTATACTATAAAACATGAGCCTTAATAGTCACTGTTGTAATGTTATTCAAACCAATAAATCTCAAGTGTCTCCTCCTTGTGGAGCAGAGAGTGAAGATGTGGCAAAAAGTGCATTGAGGTACTAAGTCTCACCCAGACACAGAAGGCAATGGATGTGGGTATCAATCTCTGGTATAATTGCCACACCTCTTGAAGCGCTTAAGGTGCCAAAGGGACAAGTAAACTATCGTATACTACTCTATGCAAACTACTTACAATAAGCTCTTAAGATAGATCTAAGGAAAAACCTAGTCTTGAGGACACAAATAAAAGTCTCATTTGCTCTTTGCAGTGGTGGCAGAGGAAATGAGGCAGCTGGGAAGTAAATTCTCTTAGCAATGACATCACCTTTGCATGGGAACTGTCATGCATTTCCAATTGATTCAAAGCTTTTCAAGGTAGTTCTGTAGATTGAATATAGTGCTTGTGATGTCAATTAATGGAAACCCCTATAATTTGCCATTTTATGGAAAAGGTAATTTAGAAATGTCTTACAATGTTAAGCTTTGATTGGAACCAGTTTTCATAACCCTCTCCTGTAAAACCAGGCTCTCCAGGCAGCCTGAGTCTAACTAAATAGGTTTTGAAGGAAAGGAAATTTTTAAAAAGTAATCCTTGAAATACACACAGACCTTAAAATGTCTTTTCATACCATGACACAATATTTTAGGCTTGATACTTCAATATTTTTTGTAGGACAAGAAGTTCTTTATTCTAATGAAAAATTGGAAATCTGCCCTTTCTGGTGCATCACACAGTAACCAATTCTAGCCGTATTGGCTCAAGGATGCATCTGATCTTAAATTTGTCATCAATCCGAGGCTGAAAATTGCCCATCCTGGGCTGTATATCACATTTGAGGGAAAAGGAATAATTCTCTCTGGCACAGGAAAAACAAAGACACACACACACACACACACACACACTTTTAGTTATATAATTGTACCAGTTTAAAAAACATTAATATAAAAATGTTTTAGTCAAAATTAATTAGCTCTTTGTAAAGTCACAAATTATTTCACTAATCAAGTTTTCATTAATCAAGTTAATTCTCTCTAAAATGATTTTAATGCTTTTTTTTTTTTACTTTTTGTTAATAAATTTGTCACATCATAAACAAAGTCTGAATTAAAATTAAGGATTTGTTCATAGATTTTGAACTCTATCAAGAAATCAAACTGTTCCTTTTAAAAAAAGTCATCCTAATGAAATCAGATTTTTTTTTTAAACTACCAAAAGTAGAACAAAAATGACATGTTTATCTAAATTAATTCAGGGAAGCTAAAACAAGATGCTTATTGTAATGCCATGGAATAATAATCTGATATATTGATTTTTACACCAGAGCAGCAATTTCATACAACAATCTCTTATTGTATATATTTATTATCATATCTAATAAGTAGTAAAGGGCTCTGAATCTTGGAATATATCATCTTGCAGGATTCTCACTCCTGGGTTTCAGCATCTAAGTCTGATATAGGTGAAACTGCCTGAAAGTACTATTGTCTCTTAAGGGTGTGAGCCAACCTCTCCTCCACACACTTCTTACCTGCACCTACAGCAACTGTCTTGAACGTTACAATTAGTTTGTGACTGACCTCCCTCAAATTAAGCCAATCACCATCTATTTGGAAAAATCAGTCCTCAAAAGCAGAAGCAATAAACTCAGTACATGTACATACATAACAATCAGTAACAAACAAACACCACACTCCAAACTCTGAGGGCCGATGGGAGACTGAGAATCTTGCAAGATGATATCTCTAATGAAACAGAATGGAATTTAAGTAGTTTTCTGTCCTCTGAAGATATCATCTGTGCAGAATTCTTACTCCTGGAAAGCAATGAGCTCAAAGATGTCCAAAGGAAAACGTTATATAGTAACTACTAAAACGGTTGAAAGAACAAAGACAAATACCATCAAGGAACAAGGTTTAAGTTCTTTTCTTTTATTTATTTATTAAATAAAAGAGGTAAAAATTACCTCCCAAACACATCAGCCTTCACCAATAAAAAGCTGGGAAGATGCAGAACATGACCCAACAACGAGAAAAACCATTCCAAAAATCTTACCAACTCAATGGAGGTACATGCCAAAGAAACAAAAATTCCAGAAAGTGGGAGTGACTAGACTCTCATGCCTTGGAAACAGAACTGCAAGAAACAGCAGAACACTCTGTATGGTATTCAAGCGTGGTTAGAGAACTGGTGCACTCTCCCTTTAAGACAAGCATGGGGAATGACTCTCTCGTATTGGCCACCTCTGAGACAGACAGCAAGAGCAAGACAGCAGGCAGGGGCGGCTCCAGGCACCAGCGCAGTATGCCTTCGGCGGCATGCCTGTGGGAGGTCCACTGGTCCCACGGCTTCGGCGGCAATTCGGCGGCGGGTACACCCGCAGAAACGCCGCCGAATCCGCATGACC